CTACGGACAAGACCCAACAGTACCCATGACCCCGAATCCCGACACATCGGAGCCACGAGCACAACAGTTCGCCGAAATTTTACAAGCAGCACGGACGCGGGCAGCAGACGCAATATAAAAATCAAACATCATCGCTAAACGAAACGCCGACCGCCATCGCAGACCTGTCACTTACCAACCTGACGACCTAGTTTTACTCGACACTCAGAACCTCCGACTGCCCATCACCCCAAAACTCCGCCCCCGATATTGCGGGCCATTTCGCATAAGCCACATGATTACGCCCGTCACCGCCCACCTCCTCCTCCCCGCTGACTGGTACGTCAGCCCCTCATTCCACGTCAGCCTCCTTCGCCCTTATGTCCCGTCCACAAGCCAACTGCCACGTAATCGTCCAGCCAGCATGATACGACCGCCGACTAAACCAATCATCACACCCGAGAAAATTCTGAGCCACAGAGTTCGTGACCCTCGAGGAGCCCGACGGATCGAGTTCCTGATCCGCTGGAAAGACCGTAAACCCACCGAAGACAACTGTGTTCCCCTAGACAGAGTCGAGAACCACCCCGTCCTCACAGAGTATCTGCGCAGCTGAAACTTTAGGGATGTACACGCACTTTCGTAAGGAGGACCTCCTTAAGGAGGGGGATAGTGTAAGGAAAATTCCTTTTCCTTACTTCGCGTCCTCGCTCAGCGCGTACACCACTGTAGCACCACAGTCAGCACCGTTACCACTCGCAACCCTCGCATCGACAACCCTCCCGCCACCTTTGCACGTCGCACCCCGACCTCACGGCTCGGCGGGTAACCCGCGCTCCGGGCCTCCGCTTCGACATTTCCCCAAACCTCAGTCCCAGGCCCGTCGCGCAACAACCACAGTTCATTACCGTTACCACTGTAGTTTCGCTATATATTCTTCGCTCATGCCTTCGCTCATTGGCCTCTTGCTTCGATAGTGCAATTCTCGTTCGATCACTTAATTGCACTCGTAACAGGAAATATTAATCAAGGAGACTCTCTGCCCCTAACGACGTGGGCCCAATCGACTTTGATCGGCTCTGATCGGATCGGTTCGGGTCGGATCGGATTGCTTGTGATCGTTTTTCTCGTGCCGCCCGATCAGAGATGATTTTCCTCGAATGTTTTGCGCTCTTGCATGAAGTCTGTCGGCCCATTACCTGGTAGTTGCATCCCAACTTTGGCGATACGGACGAATCTCAGTATCGTGGTAATGTCGCCAACATGATGTCCATACACACAGTTCTCGCCAATCTGGGTGTTTTCGCAAGGATTTTCGAGACCTCATGGCGAGGCGTGTTACATTTCGCGTACATCGCCCAGGTCGCCGATCACATGCAATCAAGTGATTGGGGCTGATTGTGGTTGATCGGGTCTGATCGGGCTGTTTGAGGCGGTTGATTGAGTTGGCGCGATCAGCTGATCGCGATCAGCTGATTGCCCCTGATTGCCTGAAATCTGCTTCCCGCCTTCCTCGAAGTTTTCGATCGCCTCTGATCGCGCGCCTATCAAAGTCGATTGGGCCCACGTCCTAAGCCGTAATCTCTTTTCATGTCATTTGGGTGTACCGTGTACCGTCCTAGAGACCCGAAGTTTGACCCCCAGGAAGGGCAAATGCACTGGGGCCGTAGTTGGGCTCCCTCCAGAGGGTGGGTCACCAACGACTCACGACGAGCATTGCGGGCAGGAATGGCCCAAATGTCAGAAGGCTCCTCGTAAGTTCCGGTTAAACGCTAGTGCTGATTGCATCATCAGGTCGAGATGATGCCACCACGTGAGGGCATCAGAACTATCGTAGATATGATTACACATGATGCTCGTTTGACTAACCCAAGGTTGCCTTGTGAAGGGGGCTTTTAAGTGATTCTAGTCAGTTCGCAAATTTCGTCAACGTCGCACCTAGCAAAAAAGGGCTTATAAAAAAATTGTAACTCTCCGTTGACTTTTTGACTTCAGTCTCTTCAGATATTCTTTGGTTTCTGTGGTTACTATTGGTTCATAGCCAATGCAACTTGCTCGGGGTGCTTGTATCGTGGGTGCAGCTGGCTGGCGCAAAATACACGGGTGCAGACTTTCTGGCGCGTGCAGGGCAAATTCGCGCGCAGCAGTTGAGCAACATGTGTACCTCCTTGCATGACATTTCGCTTCCCAGATAAGTTGGAGTGGTCAACTTCTTCGGCTACGAGGTTTAATTAGGGAGAGAGCAAGCACTGGTGGTGAAGCAAGTACCCAGTGGAAACAAGCCCTCGGCCTTTCGCAGTCTATGAATGGGAAGTGGCCCAAGCCCACTGAGTGACTCGCTTGTCCGCTGAGATATATTCGGCGAGAGGAGCAGCCTCATCAGGGCAGTTGGATGTTTTGTGCTAGGGCACTGGCCACCATCCCCGCCAAAAATTCTGACACCATCCCCCGCCCGAACCTTCGGCACGGCAGTGACGAGGAGGGATAGCAATCCAGCAACCAGATACATGTAATTTCTCCCCCCCTAAAACTTACCTTACCTTCGTAAATTCTTGACGAACAACCCGGTCCGTCCGTCGCTGGCCAACACTCCAGAAATTAGGGTTTCGGGTGAGTGTTTCGCTTAGGGATTGTTTTCGACATAGACTTCGAAGGGGTTCGGTGACTCTTTTTGCCTCTCAGATAAATTTAGTGCGGGACGTTCTGAGCTGCAAAACCGGGTTTGAACATACTGTAAATGATTACAACGCGTCTCAAGTGAATACCCATACTGGGGTAATTACATTCTGGGTAACCAGCATCGAGCCCGCTGACGTCAAAAGTCACCTACGTGGCTCGATGGTACCCGTCAGATCATGCGCACCCCTTGGTGGTACCCATCTTCCCTCCGTGGTACCCATCTTCCCTGCGTGGTACCCATCAACTGTGCGTGAATTCCCTGACTGGTACCGCAACATTTCAACCGAGCTGTACACCGTACAACAAGGGTTTCAATGCGATTTTCACTATATTATACCAACGTTTTCTGTCTGCAATTGAACATTAATACATTTGAACATTAATACCTTTGAACGTGCCTTACACTGGATAGAGTGCAACCTAGAAAAAATCAACTCCCCTTCTAAAGTCCTCACGTTACCTCCGAACCTTTGTAAGCTCACATCACTGAGCGATAGGTAGCGTGAATCTTACGACCATGTTTCTCAGCGCGCAGTTGGTAATCTGAACAAAGTTCATAAGGTTGTATGCAAATAAATTGAGCATGTACCCCCACAGCTAAATAGAAAAGCATAAACAAATAATACGTACATTCGTTGGTTTCTGGAAACAAAACAATACCCATTAATGAAAATCAAATAACCTTAAGTCAATATATATATTACGTGTCAGTTGATCGTTTGCTACACGGATGTTAATTTTTGTGTTTCGGTTGATGCAATATATCTGTGGTGATTTAAATTATAGCACGTTATAATGTGGATGTTTATGAGCCTAAAGAAATCTACACAATAAATGTTTTCCTAAATTCAGCTTTTCTTCTACACTTTATTATAGGTAATGCGCTTGAAAATTTGACCCGATTATGTGGCACTTCGGGCTTCGGACTTTAATGAGCTTGTAAACGTTAAGACAATATAGTGAAAAACGCATTGACACCCTTGTTGTACGGTGTACAGCTCGGTTGAAATGTTGCGGTACCAGTCAGGGAATTCGCGCACAGTTGATGGGTACCACGCAGGGAAGATGGGTACCACGGAGGGAAGATGGGTACCACCAAGGGGCGCGCATGATCTGACGGGTACCATCGAGCCACGTAGGTGACTTTTGACGTCAGCGGGCTCAATGCTGGTTACCCAGAATGTAATTACCCATACTGGCTAAGTTCAGCTTTCACTACGGGCTCCTCCCTCCCACCACCACCCTTATGGACAACGCTCTCCACCGACTCTTTAGGGACCAGCCTCAGGTCGTCCAGTCACCTCAAATTTCTGCGCCGCACCTGCTGCAGTTTTCCACCAGCTAGCTACGTACAGCTTTATGGAGAGCAAGGTCTCTTGCTCCTCCAGCTCTTCCTCAGTATCTTTGCCTACCGTGTGCATGGATGGTGATGAGTTGGCCTAAGTAACCCATACGTGGTTAAATAAGCTGGCGATTATTTTATACGCTAGGTGCGTCACCTCCAAATTACGCCGCAACAGCATCATGCCAGAGACAACCTGAAGAGGCCATTTGTTCGTTCAACGTCAGCAACTGGCATCACACAATGCACAAATCATTACATTCAATTGCTAGTCTGGATCGTTGGAACTCATTGCATAAGTACATATCAATCGCGATCGGCATCGCGATTCCACCGCGGAACCCAACATATGAGTTCGAACGGTCCAAATAGTGCCATAGGAGTTTCCAGGCTGTACAAAACCGTGTGGCTGTAAGTAATCCGTTGTGGACTGCGCCAGTTTTATCGGTACTACAGTAATAGTACTCTAGGGTATGGGGGTTGCGGACGGAGACGTGCAATACGGAAACATGCGGAAGATGGTAGCAAGCGCATCACTCTGCCAACCATGCGCCGCGCTTAGGCTTTTTCCTGAGCATCTTCTGCTCTCTCAGGTCCTCGAGCCGGAAATTCTCGACCGCCACATCAGGAAAACATATCCTCGCCCGCCTCTGTCGCCTCGCCGCCCTTACGCGGTATTCCGTCACCCACTCCCCCATTCGCAGGTCGCAGGGGTAATCCTAGTGGGTACTGTGAGCACGATCTCCCGCTCCCACACGAAACTGTCTTGCATTTATTTGGGCTTATTCTTCATATCAAAGCTCCACCCTCTGCATCAGTATTATTCTTACCCACCTCACCTCGTTCACTCTCGCGTGGCTGCACGGGCCGGACTAAACTGCACTCGCGATCGCACATATCTCGAGCGTGATACTCCCTTTCCCTCCACCTCCGCCAAATCCGAATCGCGTCGAAAGCGAGGCGCGTTCCCTCCACTTTCGAGAAACTTTTTTACGCAGCGATGGCGACCCAGCTGGATCAAAAAGGGGAGTCGCGAGATGGAGGCTCGCAGGCTTACCCCGTAGCGGATGCGCCTCCTATCCTGCGATTCGCGCCTTCCTCGCAACCATGGACGATGGAGGTACGGACTCTTCAATGTTACGTGCTCTATCGTTCAAATTTAGGTCAAAAGCGCATCGCCGTTTGCCGCTTTAAGATGTTTCGCGAATGCCACCTCACGGCATTCCTATCAAGCACAATGCAGCCTGCTGCTGTCGTTCATTATGCCTTCGGCTTGCTTACCCCGCGTCAACCCTTCATCCCTTAATGGTCGCATAGTAGTCTCTGTCGCTCACCCTCTGTCGTTAACTCCTTGTCGCTTATTCTCTATCTGTTACTTCTGTCACCCATTCCTTTTTTCTTATCATTTTTCTCTATCCCTTTTCCCCATTGAATGGCAGGAGGACGCGGTGCTGCTGCGGCACGCGCTGAGGCACGGCACGCGGCAGTGGGGGCGGCTGGTGCGAGGCAGGCAGCTCGCGCGCGGCAACAAGGCGTGCTGTAACCGCTTCCTCTTCCTCAAGAAGTGAGCCCTGCATGCATGCAAGCCACCATGCCATTTGCTGCAACCGCTTCCTCTTCCAAAAGAAGTGAGCCCCGGGGGTGCAAAGTCGTGTTATTATCTTGATGTGTTATTGCTTCCTCTTCCTCAAAAGTGATTGGCCTCCACCAGGCTCACTGTCATGTCATGTCACACCAAGTCATTCTGATGCGCATTGGTGCGATCTGCTTCGTGCGTCACACACAGCCATATTTAACCCATAACCCTCCCCCACATTCTCCGTGTCTCCAGGAAGTTTACACAGAAGCATGCTGACGTCACACTGTCCGCTCAGCAACAGTTCCAGCAAGGCTCGGCCGTTTCCCCGTCTTCCAGACAGCCACAGCGGCACATGTGGAGCCGACCTGACCTGGCGTTGCAATATGGCGGGCTGTCATTGGTCGAGTGGATGCAGCTGTTCCTCCCCCCTGGTCTCCGAGACACCCCGGTAGCATCTGATGTTTCACCTGACCAAGCACCTGCTGCTGTTGCTACTACTGCTGAGAGAGAGCCTCCTGCAGCAGCAGAAGGAGCAGCAGAGCAGAGCACGGCAGCAGTGGCAGCTCACCAGCTGGCCCACATTCTATTTCCCGACTCACATGGCACGGATGCTAGCACCATGGATTCAAACCCCGCACACCCTGTGGATCGGGGGATGAAGAGGCTTTGCAATGACGATGACACAGGATTCAGCATCGGCACTGGTGCAGCTCACACCGGCACGTGTGAAGGCCTGTCGGCCAGGCAGCTTCCGGACATTGGGGCTGTCGATCCTTCGGCTGTGCGCTCGCTGCTTCTGCGCGCCGCTGACAGCCAGACCTGCCAGCAACAGTGCGAGAGCAGGTGAGGCTACGACTCTTGGTCTTGAGGGTTACGTGCTTGCGCAATGCAGCATTCTCGGATTGATTGAATCCTGGTGGTCGCTCTGGTTCTCACCCGTTCTTCTCTGCTCAGGTCCACAATCCCGACATCCTGGATTTTGGCTGCTCTTCTGAAGCAAAGACAACAACTGCAGCAGCAGCAGCAGCAGCAAGAGCAACAGGAGCAGCAGCAGGAACAACTACCATCACTGTTCACACAGGATCCAGTCAGTTCCAAGTCAACCCAATTGTTCCGATCCGTCCACGGTCCCTCACTCCCAGCTGCCGCTCACTGCAGCACCATCAACACACGCACCTTGGGCTCTCTCCCTGCCCTTGACTGGCCACTCTCCTTCTCAACCTCCCTCTCATCCTCCTTCGCATCCACCCTTGCACCCTCCCTCTCAACCTCCTTCACACCCTCTTTTTCACCCTCCCTCGCACCCTCCGTAACACCCAACCACGTGTCCACCTCTCGCCCCTACGAGGCCCAATCTCTCCCAGCTGCAGCACCCTGGCGCTCCACTACTCGCACGCCCTTCACCTTCGGTCTCACTCAGAGCTCCCGTGTTCTGCATTCCGCCCCGCCTAGCACCCTTCCGCCATCCGCCCACTCGACCGTCCCTCCTCCTAATGCTCCCCCCTTCGCCCCCTTCACGGCTCCTCCTCACAACCCGCTCACCTCCCCTCCCTCTTCATTTCCCTCTCATTCTTCCCACTGCCAGTCTTCTGCTACCTTCACACCCACTTCTTTCATAACACCCGCCACACCACTGGTGCCGTCAGACCCTCCCACCATTCTCAACCGTGGCCCACCGCACTCTCTCCCCTCCTTCCCCTCACTCTCCGCACTCCAGTCAGCCCTCCAAAGCACCACCCACTCTCTCCGACCCATCTCAGCATTACCCATCTCAGCACAACCTGTCTCAACACAGCCTGTCTCAGCACCACCTGTCTCAGCACCACCTGTCTCAGCACCACCTGTCTCAGCACCACCTGTCTCAGCACCACCTGTCTCAGAACCACCTGTCTCAGCACCACCTGTCTCAGCACCACCTGTCTCAGCACCACCTGTCTCAGCGCCACCCTTCCCGCAGTGCCTCCCCAAGCAACGCTGCATCCTCGGCTTCTGTCGACTACTCCCCGCCTTCCTCTCAGACCTCCTCCCAACCCTCCTTCCAGCACACCTCTGTACACACGAGGCCGCACAAGGCGCCTCGTATGAGCCGAGGCGTGTTGCCCCCCGCTGCTCTGGAATTTGCCCGTTCTTTTTTTTCCGGGCTGCCCGGCAGGGATGGTCCCCATGGAGGGGAGAGCAGCGACGGGCAGCAAATGTTGGAGCGCACGTGCACTAGTGCGAGGGAGTGCCTGCTTAGCGCAAAGGAGAGCCTGGCTAGTGCACAGGAAAGCCTGACTAGTGTGGGGCAGGAAGGTGGAGGAAAAGCAGGGACAGAAGAACTGCCACCCATGGCTTGCCAACCTTCACTTTCTGATATGGTTACAGCTGCTGCTGCTGCTGCTGCTGCTCCTGGTGCAGTTTCTGCGCCTGCTGTGACTGGTACCCCTGATGTGGCTGACACTCCTGCAGCAGCGGCTCTTGCAGCAGCAGCAGAAGGGATCTGTCAGGGCGAGCTGTCGATTTGGAATGACCTGATTGAGCTGGAGGGCGGTGCGGAAGGGGTGGTGTGCGGTGTGGAGAAGAGAGCGGGGCTGGCAGTGAGCTCTTTCTGTGAGCTGGAGGACCTCTTAGAGGAGAACAGTAAACTGCTGTAGGCCAGCATGACATCGATAAGGGGTTAACCCTGAGTATTTGCTAATCTTCTCTGGTTGAGAGATCAATGTGCCTACACTAGGAGAGTTTTTTTTTCGTTGGCATATTTTTGTAACCGTTGTTCTGCTTAGGATAGCGAGGTTACCAATGAGGTGTATGCTGTAATTTCTGGGGAAAAAAGCCCACCTACTATTGAAGCCCTTGTGTAACTCAGGGCGACGTCAGCGTTTCGTTTACAGTTGATACTGTGCGGTTACTCTCGTTGCGTCACGGTTAAAAACTGCTTCCCACGGGTCTGGATATTTTTGTACCACGACGGATGAACTGCACCAGTGTGATGGACGAACGCACCGACTTCGCCCTTACCGTCATACCCCGGATAGAAGCGTCCCTGGGGGAATAAAAAAACGCTGTTTTTTAAGGGGTGCGCTTATAATCGAGGAATTTTATACGCGCCGGCGCTTATAAAATGAAAAAAAATCTAATTGTTTTTCACCACACTGTAGATCTTGTTCTGCGTATTGTAATCGAGTCGAGAACATATAGGGTCGCGAATCTGATTCTCGCGCAGCTTGGCAGGGAGTGATTCCCTGCCAGCTCATACTGACAGAATAACAGCACATGCTGACTAGACGCGCAAAAACTGAGATCGGAGTGTGGGAAATCGACATTGTAGTTCGTTTCCCTGATAATGTGAAATGCGTTTCTGTATTTCGACAGATTTTCAATTGAAAAACCAACATGCGCTTATAATATACCGTCATCGCCCGGATATAAGACATATATGTCTTATCTCATACACTAAAAAAAATTCTTGGGTTATCTGGTATTTGGGGAGGTTTTGGGTGTCTTATAAGTCTTATAAATGGAAACTTTTTTAACTACTTGGAAATATTTTCACGCATCTTGAAAAGAGTTTCTCATTAAGAGTGTGGATGGTTCAAAGGTGCCACTTCGGCAACCATTGTTCGGGACGCCACGTCATCCCGAATACTTGCAGAGGCAAATTTGGTAGTACGTGAGTCAGCACGTGGCAGAATTCGCGTGTCGCAAGGGTAAAGATGTACGCGGCATTTCAATTTTCACTATAATACATGCAGTTTCGATTATAAGACACATATGTCTTATCTCGTACACACAAATAGGTGTCGTATAAAAAGGCTAGCCTGTTTATAAGAGACACCCGTATAATAGACAGCCCATGTCTACTATTCAACACTGTCTTATATCCGGGCGATGACGGTATCATATTTTTTTGGGGGGTGGGCTTATAATCGAGGACCGGATATAAGCGCCGTCATCCTTTTATAAGCTCCGGCGCTTATCCGAGGCATGCGCTTCTATCCGGGGTATGACGGTAATTCTTCTTGCGTGGGAGGCAAGCACATATGTAGAAAATACTTATTTTGCTTGAAACCTTAGGAAGCGGTGAAAGTGCAAATATCGCAGGATCGTCTGCAAATATCAAGCCCCACAATCGAGTGGGCAAATCGATTGACGAAACGTGGCAACTGCAACGCTGTAACGACCGTACCTGAGAATTGACAGATCTCATGCTATAAGTGATCAGTCGCATTCACACATTGCACATAATTTTTGGCCAAAATACGTACTGTAGCTTGTTTACAGCGTAGTTGGTAGGGTAACCAATCCGCATATCGATCGCGACTGACGATTGACTGTCTACTTTCAACGCGTCCTTAACAGGTTCTGAGATTATTCAAACGTTTGGGAGTTACAGACTCTCATAACAGTTACTCAACTAAACTGTATTACTGAACGGAGCAACGGCGTTTCGCCTGCGTTCGCTCGGGCAAATACGTGACTGTGGGTGGACAGCGAGAACTTTGTATCCATTTCGCTGGATAGTATCCACATGTTACACCTGGTACAGTAGGTGGGTGGGTTAGTTTTTTCACACCCAATGGCTGTTTCGCAGGAAAGCACTTACGGGATGGCTATTTCACAGGAAAGCATCCATCCATCCAAACTGTTCAGCATTGCTATTGTTCCGCCACTGGCCCACTGTCTTTCTCCCCCACCCCGTTTCGGCATGACGCCTGTAAATGTTTTTTATAACTGGACAGTTATTTTGATAATGTTTTTGCAAAATCATCTGCTTTTCCTCACCCTTACCCACCAGTGGATACCTGGGGTTCATTGTGCTCCTCCCGCCACCATCCTTGACAACACTTCCCACCCAGTCTTGAGGAACCAACCTCAGGTCTTTTCCTCTTACCTCTCACCACCTCTCTGCACCTTCACCCCCTTACCTGTCGTAACTGCACGATCGAGTTTGCTCCGCCACCTCCAGCTCTTACGTCGGCTCGGCAGCCTTCATAAAAGCCTTGCACCTGCGCTCACACACACGCATGTGCGCCTCACGGAAGCTGGCGATTATTTTATTCGCTGCGCCGCCCTCCTTGAATCTCGCCGCGACAGCATGATGACAAACAACAGCCAAATAAAGCCATCGGCCCGTCCAATGGCAACGACTGCGGAAGCAAATGATTGCCTTCAATTCCCAGGCTGGGTAGTTGCGTCAGACTTGCTTCGGAAGCTCAATCGCGATCTAAATCGCGATCCCGCCGCGGAACCCAACATGGGCGTTGGAACGGCTCCAAATAAAGCCATAGGAGCTCCAGCCTGGCCAGAACGGGTCCTGTAATCTGTCCATGTAAACGCGCTGATTTGATTTTAGAGTCTGCGCTGCTGGGGTCAGGAGACGTGCAATACGGAAACATGCGGGAGGTGGTCGTTGCGCGCGTCTCCCCCCATGCGTGTAGGGTGGGGGGGAATCGCGAAAGATGATGGCGAGCATCCTCTCCACTTCCCCGCGGTCGCCGTCGTCGACCCGAATTCCCTCGTTCGACCGCCACGGCCCATGACTCGCACGCTTTCTGTCACCCTCTCGGGAATCGGGATTCCACCGCAAAACAACCTCCCCCATCTCCACGCCAGTCGGTGGGTGGAATGCCTGGCGCTACTGGTCCAACACAAGGCTCTCTCGCTCTCGGATCGGACCCCGTTGCACACCGTCGACGATGGACCTGTCTACTATTTAGTCTATATTCATCGCCGCTGTACTTCCCACTTTACTTCCACAAGCTCGGTGATTCTCCCTCCTCCCACTGGTCATTCTCCATAAGCAACAATTGGTGCTTGAAGCACTAGCTGGTGTTTGAGCTCAGGGCCGCAACGAAACACGCTCGCGATCATACTCCCCTCGAACGAGGTGCCTTCCTTCCCTCCAAAGACCGCCATTTCTCTCGTTTAACGCGAGCCGCAGTGAGGATTTGGATTTATCTGCGATCCCCAAATCACGCCGCTTCTGGCGCGCACCCGTTTCTGCTTTGAGGCTCGCTTGCCCTTTCCCACTCGGATCGCATTGATCGTAACGGTCGAGCCGCAAGCTTCCAGGGTGTGCCACTAATTCCAGGGTGTGCTACTAATTCCAGGGTGTGCCACAAATTCCAATTATTCCAGGGTGTGCCACTAATTCCAGTTCTTCCAGCGGCCATGGCGTCGCAGCTAACGGAGTCGCGACATGGAGGCTCGCAGCCTTTCCCCGTGGCGGATTCGCCTCCCATTCTGCGATTCGCGCCTTCCTCGCAACCATGGACGATGGAGGTACGGACGCTCCGAATTCACTTACTACTATGCCGTACCATCCACGATCTGTGTCGCTCATCCCTCTGTCGCTCACCCTCCGTCACTCACCCTCCGTCACTCACCCTCCGTACTCACCCTCCGTCACTCACCCTCTGTCGCCCACCCTCTGTCGCCCACCCTGTGTCGCCCACCCTCTATCGCCCACCCTCTGTCGCCCACCCTCTATCGCCCACCCTCTGTCGCCCACCCTCTGCCGCTCCTCGATCGCCCTCGCTTACCTTCTGTTCCTTACCCACTATCTCTTACCTTCTATCGCTCACCCTCCGTCCTAGCCGTTAATTGTTCCCCCCCCCATGACTTCCATCTTTCAGGAGGAAGCGGTGCTGCTGCGTCCCCCAATCGCTTACCTTCCGTCGCTAACCGTCCGTCCCTTACTCTCTATCGCGTATCCCCGTCATTGCTTCCATCCGGCAGGAGGACGCGGTGCTGCTGCGGCACGCGCTGAGGCACGGCACGCGGCAGTGGGGGCGGCTGGTGCGAGGCAGGCAGCTCGCACGCGGCAACAAGGCGTGCTGCAACCGCTTCCTCTTCCTAAAGAAGTGAGCCCTGCATGCATGCAAGCCACAATGCCATTTGCTGCAACCGCTTCCGCTTCCTCAAAAAGTGAGCCCCGGAAGTGCAAAGGCGTGAGTTATTAATATATGGTGCAATTGCTTCTTCTTTCTCAAAAAGTGAGCCCCATGCTGACTGCTTCCTCTTTCTCAAAAAGTGAGCGCGACACGCCTTACTGTCGGAGTCCGCTCGTTGCTGCCTTGAGATGAGACTACAAGTGGCACTCTTTGCTTCTAACCTTGCAAGCTTCGCTGTTATATTGGTCACAACTTTCGTCACAGCTCTCACAATCTCCGTGTTTTCAGGAAGTTTACCCAGAAGCATGCTGACGTCATACTGCCAGCTCAGCAACAAATTGAGCAAGGCGCGGCCGTTTCCTCGTCCGTCGCCCAACCACAACGTCACATGTGGAGCCGTCCTGACGTGGCGTTGCAATATGGCGGGCTGTCATTGGTCGAGTGCATGCAGCTGTTCCTCCCCCCTGGTCTCCGAGACACCCCGGTAGCATCTGATGTTTCACCTGACCAAGCACCTGACTTCAATCCAGCACCTGCTGCTGCTGCTGGTACTAATACTTGGAGAGGGCATGCAATAGCAGCAGCAGCAGGAGCAGCAGCAGCACCACAGAGCACCACGGCAGCATCGGCATCGGCGACAGCTCACCAGTTGGCCCACTGTCTGTTTCCAGAATCACATGCCACGGATTCACACCCCGTGGATAGGGGGACGAAGAGGCCTCGCAATGACACCACGGGATGCAGCACCGGCGCCGCTCACACCAGCATGCATCATCAAGGCCTGTCGCCCACTCAGCTTCAGGGTATCGGGGCTGCTGATGTCTCGGCTGTGCGCTCGCTGCGTCCGCGGGCCACCGACAGCCAGAGCTGCCAGCAACAGTGCGATAGCAGGTGAGGCTATGATGCGCGAGCTCGTGACTCTTTTTGGTGAGGGCTTTGTGCTTCGCTTGCTCATGCGCAGAGCACACATCAGATGTACACTCTGGTCCTCATAAGTTCTTCCCGGTTTCTCTCCTCTTCTCTGCTCTTTCCAGGCCAACAATCCCGCCATCGTGGCTCCTGACCTTACTTCTGCAGCAAAAACAACAGCAAAAGCTGCGGCAGCAGCAGCAGCAGCAGCAGCAGGAGGAGGAGGAGCATCAAGAGCAACAGGAGCAGAAGCAGCAGCCGTCACTGCTCACACAGGATCTAGTCAGTTCCAAGCCATCTCAGTCGTTCCAGTCCCTGCGCGGTCCCTCGTTCTCTCCACCCACCCACTGCAGCAGCGCACCCACGTTAGGCTCTCTCCCTGCCCTTGACTGGCCTCTCTCCTTTGCAACCTCCCTTACACCCTCCATCACGCCCTCCTTTGCATCCTCCCTCTCACCCTCTTTTTCACCCTCCCTCGCAAGCTCCCTCTCACCCACCCACGTGTCCATCACTCACCCCTACCTGTCCAGCCATCTCACATCCGCGTCCCCATGGCAATCCACCTCTCGCACGCCTTTCACCTTTGGTCTCCTTCCAAGCTTCCCCGCTCTGCATTCCGCCCTTCCCCATAGCCTTTCCCCATCCCTTGGCTCGACCATTCCTCCCCACGCCGCTCCCCCCACCGCTACCCCCACCACTTCCCCCATTGCTCCACACAGCCCACTCACGTCTCCTCCATCCGCCACACCCTCTCCTTCCTCTCACCGCCACTCTGCTGCTCCTTTCACACCCACGTCTCCCATAACAGCAGCGACGCCACCGGTGTCATCAGCCCCTTCCACCGTTATCAACCGTGGCCCACCGCACTCTCTCCCCTCCTTCCCCTCGCTCTCTGCTCTTCAATCAGCCCTCCACACTCCACCCGCCAAAGCACCTCCCACACTCTCCGACCCATCGCAGCAATTCTCTTCTCAGCATCTCCTGTCTCAGCGCTACCCTTCCCGCAGTGCCTCCCCAAGCAACGCTGCTTCCTCCTCGTCTGTTGACGGCTCCCTGCCTTCCTCTCAGATCTCCTTCCAGCCCTCTTCTCAACGCACCGCTGCGCCCATGGAATCACAGCAGCTGCAAGCCACATCCACACCGTCAGCAGGAGAAGCCTCAGCAGCTGCTCCGCACCCATCCACACCAGCACCATCCGCAAGCACTCTTCCCATGCTTCCCATGCTTCCCGTTCCGCCTGTGCTTCCACCAGAGCTCACTGAAAGCATGGCACCAGCAGCAGCCCTTCCAACCCCGTTGTATCATGCATCGATGGACGCAGCTCCCTTGTCTTCATCTGCTCTGAATGCAGCACACGCGAGGCCGCACAAGGCGCCTAGTACGAGCCGAGGCGTGCTGCCCCCCGCTGCTCTGGAATTCGCCCGCTCTTTATTTTCCGGGCTGCCCGGCAGGGATGATCCCGAGGAAGGCGAGAGCAGGAACGGGCAGCAAGCGTGGGAGCACACGTGCACGAGTGCGAGGCAATGTCTGCCCAGTGCAGGGGAAAGCCTGCCAAGTCTCGGCCAACCTTCACTTCCTGAAATGGTTACTGCATCAACTGCTGCTCCTGGTGTAACTGATGTGATTGATTCTCCAGCGGCGGCGGCTCTTGCAGCAGCAGCAGAAGGCATGTGTCAGGGAGAGGTATCCATTTGGAAGGATCTGATTGAGCTGGGAGGTGAAGCGGAGGGGGTGGTGTGCGGTGTGGAGAAGAGAGCAGGGATTACCGTGGGATCGTTCTGTGAGCTGGAGGACCTCTTTGGGGACAATACCAATCTCATATAGTTGATAGCCCTTTTTCTCCATTGTCATACAGGTAGTTTTTAGCCGATGTGTAACTGTTCTTTTGTTTGGACGTTGCCTTATATATACTCAGTCAGCTTACCTGTTAGTGAGCATTTTTCAGCACTGGATGCATGCAAGCCACAATGCCATTTGCTGCAACCTCTTCCTCTTCCTAAAAAAGTGAGCACCACACGCCAGGCTAAATTTCATTGTTTCTGCCTTGAATTAACAAGATCTACACTCTTGCTTCGCATCTCGCAATGCTGTTCTATTTCGCGCGGTTTCTCTAGCAGCTCGCACACAGCTTTAACTAACCCATGCCTCTCCCTCATACTCCCTTGTGTCTGCAGGAAGTTCACCCAGAAGCACGCTGACGTCACACTGCCAGCTCAGCAACAGTTCCAGTAAGTCCAGGCCGTTTCCCTGCCTTCCGCCCAACCACAACGTCACATGTGGAGCTGTCCTGACGTGGCGTTGCAATATGGCGGGCTGTCATTGGTCGAGTGCATGCAGCTGTTCCTCCCCCCTGGTCTCCGAGACACCCCGGTAGCATCTGATGTTTCACCTGACCAAGCACCTGACTTCAATCCAGCACCTGATGCTCTCGCTCCTGCTCCCGCAGCAGCAGCAGCAGCAGCACCACCACCACCACCACCAGCAACAGCAGCACCAGCGGCAGCAGCAGCAGCAGGAGTGGCATCGGCACAGCAGACCACTGCCTCGGTCGCACCCCATCGACTGGCCCACATTCCGTTCCCGACCGCGGAATCGATTGCCACGGATGCACACACCATGCAATCAAACCCCGCACACCCCGTGCATCGGGGGACGAAGGGGCTACGCAATGACGACGACACGGGAGTCAGCATCGGCGGCGCTGCTCCCACCTGTACGCGTGAAGGCCTGTCATGCCTCACGCAGCTTCAGGGCATTGAGGCTCTTGATGCCTCAACTGTGCGCTCGCTGCTTCTGCGGGCCGCTAATTGCCAGAGCCTCCAACAACAATGCGAGAGCCGGTGAGCTCACAAGTCTTGATGTCAAAGTTTCTGTGCTTCGCTTGTGCTGTGCATGCTCAGTGTTCTGTTCGTGGATTTCTGGTGATTACTCTGTTGTTGCTACCTTGAATTTCCGCTTTCCCGATGTGGAATTCTGGCAAGTACGCTGGTTCACATCTCTTGCCTTACTCCCCCTTTGCGCTCATCTGCCCTGCTTTGCTCTGTCCAGGCCGACAATCCCAGGATCATGTCTTCAGGCGCTTCTGCAGCAAAAACAGCAGCAACAGCAGCAACAGCTGCAGCAGCATCAAGATCAACAGGAGCAGGAGCAGCTGCCATCACTGTTCACACAAGATACACCTGATTTCAAGGCAACCCTATCTTTCCAGTCCCTGCTGCAGAGTTTGTCACTCGCTCCTTCTGCCCACTGCAGCAGCATCAACACTCCCACTTTAAGCTCTCTCTCTGCCCTCGACTGGCCTCTCTCCTTCGCGCCCTCCCTTGCACCCAACCACGCGTCCACCTCTCATGAAATGAGGGTGTTTTCGAGACGTCTCAAAAGCCACGCGTCCACCTCTCGGCCCTACCAATCCCAGCCTCTCCCATCCGCGTCCCCATGGTACTCCTCCACTCGCTCGCCCTACACCTTTGGTCTGACTAAAGGCTCCCGTCTTCCGCATTCTTCCCTTCACCCAAGCCTTTCACCGTCCCTCCACTCGGCCACCCCTCCCCTCACATCTCCCCTCACCGCTCCGATCAACCCTCTCACGTCCTGTCCCTCCTCCATACCCCCTCCTTCCTCCCACTGCCACTCCGCTGCTCCCATCTCACCCTCGTCTCGCATAACAGTAGCGATGCCACCGGTGTCATCACAGCATTACCCATCGCAGCACCACCTGTCTCAGCACAACCATTCCCGCAGTGCATCGCCAAGCATCGCTGCTTCCTTTGCTTCTGTCGATTACTCCCCGCCCTCCTCCCATACCTCCTCCCAACGCTCCGCTGCACCAGGGGAGCCTCAGCAGCTGTGGGCTGCACCCACAGCATCAGCAGGAGAAGCTTCAGCTGCTCCCCACCCTACTTCAACTGCTGCATCAGCACACATGCGTCCTATGCCCCCTGTGCTTCCCGGCTTTCCTGCAAAGTGCA